GCGGCGGGCAGAACTTCGGGGCGCGTCCGCGGCGGCTTCCGATGCACGTAAGTGGCTTTGCGGGACTTTCGCAGCGGGGAAGAGCTGGTTGGCTTGGAAAGCCTTCCACCCGCCCCTTCCTCGGGCTTCTGCTCGCTGGCCAGAAGTTCCCCGCACAGCTCTGCTTTAAACCCGGTTAAGAGAAACCCCGACCGCGGTCTGAGCCTCGCGGGGGCTCCTTCCCTCGCTCCGCATGGACTTGGTCTGGAAGCGCCCACGCGACGGGCCGATCCCGGGCTTCTCATCAGCAGGAAGTGTGAAGTTCGGTCCTTCGCTGAATGAATTATGATCCTCAGGGGGAGAAAAGGATAGTTGGGCACGGTGCAGGGCTGGGAAAAAGGCTCGGCTGAGAAATGCAACGGGGAAAGTGGAAGACAGGATCCTCCCCGGGGGAAGCCGGAGAGGAGAGCGCGCGGGGTTGAAAGAGCATCCCCGGACATCGGAAAAAAACATGTTGCAAAAAGGGTTGGCGAAGGGCAGATGTTCGAGCTGTCCTCCGAGGAAAGGCAGCTGGGGAGCACAGCTGCCCGTTTTAGCTCCCATCCTGTGCTAATTGGGGAAGGCGCTCCCAAGCGCTGGTGGATCTGGAAGCCGAAAATGGTGCAAATCTTCCCCGGGCGGGTGAGAATATTTTTGGCTGCGAGTTTCAAGTTTCACCCTTAAGGCTCTGCGGATCACTAGCTGCAAAATGTTAATTAGCCCTCCGATGCAAAACGTTCCGGAGCTTTAGGTAACTTTCTAATTAAAAAGGAAGAGCCTCGTTAAAAATCCTTACCAGGAGTGGTAGAACTGAAATCCTCAAACAGCTTTTTCAGGATCAGCCTCGTTGGTTTTACCCCAGCTTGGCAATGGCTGGAGGATGGTAGTTGAAGTGGGTTTTAAAGATTGGTTAAGCAGAGATGGGGGTTTAAAACCTTTTTTCCTTCTAGGAAAAGATGTCCAAAAATGAAAATGTGGATCATTCACTGCAGAATTGGCAATGCGAAGACTCTGATTCTTGTGCCCTTACTTGGGAATAAGATTCATGGAACAAACATCTGGCTCTGTGTGTTTACCTTCTTTCAGATG